AGCCGTAGGTGAAAATGTTGGGCTGGAAATCAATCAAGATAAGACAAAATACATGTATGTCGGAGCCGACAATGAGGCTGGTCAACAGAGCATTGAAATGTGTGGTCTTACCTTCGAAAGTGTCAAAAAATTCACATATCTGGGGGTGGAAGTGAATTCTGAAAATAAAATTGCTGCTGAGGTGTACAAGAGGATCATGGCTGGAAACCGAGCATACTATGCCAACCTAAAATTTGTTCGATCATCGCTCCTGTCACGAGAAACAAAGATAAGACTATATAAAACTTTCGTAATACCTATTGTGACTTATGCAGCGGAGACATGGACCCTTTGTACTAGCACAATTAGTATGATGTATATTTTTGAAAGAAAAAAATTGAGAAAAATTTATGGAGCTGTTTGTGAAGAGGGTGTGTGGAGATATAGAAAAAATGCGGAGCTATATGAATTATATAATAGCGGCAACATAGTTCATTTCGTTAAAACTGGGCGTATGGAATGGTTCGGCCACGTGGTTAGAATGGACCACAGCAGGATGCCTTATAGGGCATTGTTCTCTACGATGTATGGCACAAAAAGAAGGGAAAGACCAAGAAAAAGATGGCTACAAGATGTTGAGAGCTACCTTAGAACACAGGGCGTGAGGAATTGGAAGGAAAGAGCGAGCAATAGGGATGATTGGCATGCTATGATTCAGGAAGCCAAGGCTCAGCCTGTGCTGTAGAGCTGCATAGTAAGTAAGAAAGTAAGTAAGTAAGTAAATAGTTCAATTGAAACCCTAGTTGATTTGTGGAATTTCGCGTGATTTGTAGGTTTTGTAAAATTGCTTGGATCGAGCTGATGGTTAATCATTTTTTCTTGAAACTTTATACACTTTTTACTGTCGTTCTGCTTAGTTACAAAAATATATAATCATTTAGAAAACTTGTTTCGTTTCGAACCTTTTTTATATTTTATTAACAAAAATAGGTGTTTTTAAATCAAAGTTTTACAAATACTGAGATTTTAAAAAACTTCTGATATCCTCCGGAAAATCGATTTTTTAGCAGTCATTGTTAAAGATAAATTCATATTAATTCAAACCGCCATGGTCCGCCTGAAGGTAGTTAAATCATATTTACAATTATTTTTGTATGTATAAATGCTCGAACAATTTCTACGTATGTACTAATATCTCCTATAACTAGACATGCTCTCAAATTTAGTTTTAAGAATTGTATTGAACAGAAAGAAAATAAGGTTCTGTAGTTACGTTTATAGAAAAACACCTTAAAACAATATTAAAAAAATTACATTAAATATTAAATCTTCATTTTCATATTTTTAAATTTTTTTTACCCATATAAAAAATAATCTTTTATATTATTCTTTAACTGTTTATAACCATTCTTTATTTTCACTCTGACATAAATAAATAAACTAACACAAGACCGTTAAATGCGCTAAAGTTTAAAATTAATTAAAGAGCGGCTTTAATGAAAAAAAAACAACAACTTTTATTTACTTGTTCCACTAACATTACCCTCTGTTAGTAATAAAATGTAATTGTTTTCAATCTCTAACCCTTATTCTTTTTAAATTCGTTATAATTGCAAAACGATAAATTTAATCTGAGAGTATCTGGTTGAACCTTTTTGACTTGATCAGTTGTTGTTTATGTAATCTCTAAAATTAATGAAAAAATAGATATTCTTTTTAGCGGAAAATCTGAAGAAGTATTGATGGTGTTCAAAATATCATTATCGATGGTTTTTAAATTTTGTTTGTAATAAAAATGAAATAAACTGTTTATTATTACTTAAGAACTATCATAAAATTAATATATTTATAATTAATATATTATAATTATGTTTTGTGATTTATTGTGTTTATAAAATTTTAAAAAATAAATAAATAAAAATAACGGTTGTATGTATTAATATAGACAGTAGTTACAAATAGGTATATAAAATTATGCGTTTTATGAGGTCTCTATCATTTTCGAAGTTAATTTAATTTATTGTCAAATTTAAAAGTTTCCAAGTTTAAAAGAAGAAACAGGAATTTTTTTGGCCAAAATGTTCAAATCCTGATGTTATATTCGAGTTCCTTGGCCTTGAAAACATAAGTGTACTAGATATCAAGTTAATCAAACATCATTCCCGAGTTCTAGGCCCATGTCCACCAAAACCGGTCTGTCGTCCCACTGTGTGCCGAGGTATTTGAAAGGGTCTACTTTTAGGAACGATGTTCAATCTCAAATCCAATTGTTAGGATGGATTTTTTCGGCTTACCATCATTTGTTTTATCTTCCATTACTTATAGTCCAATATGTCATATATTGGAGTCTTAGAAAGTCCCTTAAAGTTCACTTGATTGCTCCAGAGGACAGTTTAAGTCCTATCCATTTATTTAATTCCTATCAACCTATCCTATAATTTTTTTTATTCATTCCAATGTGCACCGCATAACTCTATGATCAAATCTTGTTCATATCACCTTCTCCAAAAATAAGTTGAAGAGCACCTTCCCTCTGCCTCAATCCTTGCCGAACTTCGAGGGCTTTAGATACTTCTCCTTATATCATTTAGGCATTTAGCATTATATCATCGATACAAATGCTACAAATACAAACTATCGAATATGAAAATCATCAATCTAATATCATTATCGATTCAGCCCAAACAACGAGTATGTTTGGTTTCCACACTAACTGATTTCATGAATGTTTGAAGAATTTTTATTCGCTCTTTAAAAATATCTAATTACAATTACAATCACGAGAGTGCAGGATTGAAAATGTTTCATATTTTCGTATTCGTTAGTTTCCATTTGTATCTACGATATGTATGCATACATACATGTGATACATTTATACAACTGTAACACACAAATTATATCTTCTGAAATATGGCATATTTTACAAACTCCATAATCGTATTATAGAGTTTATGAAATGGATACAAAATGCAAATAATCTCCTTAGATTTTCTTAGAAAATGTCACTAAACAGAAATACAAATTTTCATCATATTCAGATTTGTTTCTTAAATAGTAAGTAGTAGGGATTGATCTTATATCTAGTAGATAAAATTAACAATTAATTTATATACGTAAAAGTTAGCCAAAAATAAAATAACTCTAATGCATTTTGCAATTGTGTAGTTTCCCACAGAAAAAAACAACAACAATAATATGCTTTAAGTGTAAGAGTAGTTTATAGTCGTTATTTATTTCTTATGAATAAAAGAAACTCGAGTCGCGTTGAACTAAACTAATTGCTTGAAATTCTATCTAAAACTTGGGCAACGATATCTGGAATACGGCTTCAGAGCTTAGTAACTTAAGAACAGTTTTGTGGTGTGGCCAATGCAAGGCGAATGATACTTGAGTATTACTCATTATATCGGTTTATATTCTACTTCTAAAACTAAACTAATGTAAGTGTGAGTAGGTGTACGTTTACGTTTTTATATGTGTACGACGGCCTCAATGGAAAAAACAACTTATACTTACTTGTTCCACTAAGATTACTGTCTCTTAGTAAAAAAATGTAATTTTTTTCAATCTCTAACATTTATTCTTTTTAAATTCGATATAATTGAAAAACGGTAAATTGAACCTGAAAGTATTTGGTTGAACCTTTTTGACTTTATCTGCATTATTTGTTGTTAATATAATCTTTAAAGCCATGTTGTAGTTCCAGTCGCAGTAAACGCAGAGAGGAAGTTGTCCTCACTCGATTAAGAATAGGTCATACCAGGCTTTCGCACCTTCACCTAGTTACGAAAGAAAACCCGCCCATTTGTCAGAAGTGTGGAGAGACAATGACAGTGGTCTATATCTTCGAAAGTTGTACATTTTACATTAGAGAATTAAACAAAAGATACCAGGAAATACATCGCCTGCTTTGGGAAATGAAAAAATCTTGAGCAAAGTCATATGTTTTCTCTCTGAAGAAGGAATCTTTAAAAATCTCTGAACCTCTCACGCAGCACTCTCTCCCTATGTTTTTTCCTTTTACCTTTTTTTTTTATTTTACATATATATACATATATATTTTACATTTTTTTTTTTTTTTACTTAACGTGCTAACTTTAAATAACTAAACTATAATAACCGTGAACAACTTTGACATTGACGTGCATTTTACGTCTTTTTAATTTTATTATACACAACCAGAAGATATCATGACATATAATTTTAATTAACGGCGTTGATGACCAACAGGTTTTAAGCCTTTACTACACAACGTTTAAAAAAAAAAATTAAAATAAAATTTTGTTCATTTCGCTAAAAAGTCGATCTAAAAATTACGTTTATTCTTAAATTATAACTCTAATATAGACCCAATTATTGTTTATTTCTTATCTCACCTAACTTATTTTAAAAGTTTAAATAAATGAAAGCCATAATTTCACTATAAACCTAAACCTTTTTTTTAAATAAAAGTTTCTTATTTCTTCTTTTCATTATTCCTAGAATTGGTGTCTTGAGGTTTTATTTGTTTTATAAATTAGGCCATTATTCAACAACATTTTATTTATGAGCTATTTTATTACGACGTTTCGACCATCACTAGTGCCATTTTCAAGTCTTATTGAGTCCTTGATTAGATATTCATTATTAATGTCATATTAATTTGTTCAGAAAAACATTAATAGGACATTAATAATGAATATCTAATCGAGGACTCAATAACACTTGAAAATGGCCCTAGTGATGGTCGAAACGTCGTAATGAAATAGCTAATAAATACAATGTTGGTGAATAATGGCCTAATTTATATAACAAATAAAAGTTTTTTTTCCTAAAATGATTCACAGAAATTGTTAAAATGGAACTTTTCATGAATGTTCCATACAAATTTCAACATCTATTTAAGGGTATTTGAATCACTGTTGGAAAGTCTATTCCTATGTCTTATTATTATTTTTTTTAAATTAATTTACTTATGACTTATTTTTTATTAATATATGATATATAAGAAGTTTTGTTCTATAACGTAATTTTTATTTCAGTTTGAATTCGGTGTCAAGTTTTTAGGAAGGGCGTTGGCGAATGTACGCCAGTTGCGAGGAATAGCCGCTGCTGAGAACGTAAGTGTTATAAACTTATGTTGTATTAACATAAAATTATACAATTACAATAAAAACTGTGAATTAGGGTTTATTTTATAAAATTTAATCGATTTACAGCTAAAAGCAGTCGCTGAAGACACCGGCCTCCATTACATGGGCACAATCCCTAAGGACCCGTTCGACCTCTTCAAGAACTGGCACGGCCAGCAGACACAGAACAATCTATCCGCCAATGCTCTTTGCCTCTCTACATGTAGCAAGTAAGTTGAAGTGTTCAAGTAGATAGATATCTGCTTCCTAATAGTAATGATAGAGTAAAGTGTATGCACCACGGGTTTCCATCCCCTCCCCCAGGTCGATGGCGCAAGAATCCCTAATCCTTCTCCCAAGATATTTTATTTCTCAACTTTTCTTAAAAATAGATGAAATAAAAAAAAATCGTTGATTACATAAAATAGCACTTACTGCAGTCTGTTCCATGTGTTTCCCTTGTCGTTTAATCTGAAAATTCTACATAGAAACTGTCTCCCTCCCCCAAAAATTCAAAACCCGTCTAAATATGCCCCCTCAAAAATTTTGATAGCGCAGCTTGTTCCACGAAACACCCTTTTGGGCACCCCTGGTATGCACTGTGGTGCCAAATGGAGATTGTATATGCATTTTGAAAAGGGCACAGTTCGACGTGGTTAAGAATTTTCGAAGGAACCATATTTTTGTTAACTTTCAGTTACGGGAGGAGTTTTCAACCAGAGAATGAAGAGACAACATGAAACATAAACTTTAATTAGTAGATTATTTACAATTCTATTTCCGCTTGCACTGTTTTTATGAAGTGGTGCGCAATAAAATTTCCTCGAAGTACGGCATGCGCTATCGACCTTGGGGGAGATGGGCACCTGTATATTCAGTATAGCAATATTAATATTTTTCCATTTTAACATAGCCTAGAAAAGACTGAGACACCAAGAGATCCACATAATTTACCTAAGTCCTCCTAGTGAGGTTCTACGGAAAATTTTAACAATATACATAATTTATTTTATCAGCCAAACTATTTTACCAATTTCAGAAAGGGTCGATTAGCGGAAGTGCTATTTACTAAACTCGCCTATTACTCACAAATTAGATAGTAATAGTTAATAAAATTATACATGCATCTAAATTATTCATATTGAATAATTATAGCTCGAAACACCACCGCTGACATCAATGGAGGAACACTACCTTAAGGTTTTCGAAAATGAAGTACCGGAAAGAATATTTGATCCGAAATGGAATAAATTGACATTAGAATTGAGATGTCTACACGTAGCGTCATTATATGGCATAAATCATTTAATATGATTGTGCCATAGCACCTTTGGAACTGAAATAGATATGTTGTTGATATAGATAATGAGAGAATCACTAAAAAAGCCTATGATTGCAAATGAAGATTGTGTGAGATATTGTGTGAAGACGATGTTCAGGGATGGTATGTAAGAGGGAGTTTAACTTTTACAAAGTAATTTCAAAACTTTCCTGCTCATATATTTCATTGATTTATTACTTCCATTTACTTATATATGAAATAAATAGTAAAGTAAAGTATTGCGATCGTGAAAATTTTCCAATCTCAGTTTTCAACGGAAATATTTTGAGGCCCCTGATTCCAAATAATCAAGTCTCACAAAATGGTCTGTCTGTGTGTGTGTTAACAGTCTAGCTCAAAAACGGAAAGTAGTACGAAACTGAAATTGTATATTTGAGGTTTTTATATACCTGAGATGTTACAGTAACCTTTTTGTCGAAATTGGCTGACCGGAAGTAGCACTTAATATAATCGATTTAACATATTTTTTCGATTTTCTCGAAAACTGCTTTAACGAGTTTGATTAAATTCATTTTATCAGTGTAAAATTAAGCAGTCTTTAATATATTGTAGGTTTTATTCTCATTGATGTTCTCAAATAGGGCTTAAATGGGTATTTTTACCAGCTACCCTAAAGTATTCGTCACCCAAAGATTTCGTCACCAGCCTGCTCCTTGGATGTGTCAGGAAATTAAAGAACTGCAGAAGAGACGCGACGCTGCTCGTAGACGCTTCAGACGTACTAGGCTTGCAGATGACTACCAAGCGTTCAGGGTGCTTCGCAACTTGACACAAACAAGGATCCGGCGTGTGAAATCCCTATACTTCCACGAAGCCCTTTCCTCAACTCCTGACATAAAATCAAAATGGCGACTGCTTCGTAAACTCTCCCTTTGTGATCCTTCCAGATCCCCTACAACAGCCTTTCCAATATCCCCTGATGATCTAAACTCGCATTTTATATCTGTTGCTAATACCTCTCCTTTATCCTCCTGTTCCGGATTTCCTATAGAGATACCATTTGACGACAATAACTTTTAGTTTTTCCGACATTTCTCCCACAGACCTTTTAACCGCTGTAATGAAATCCCACACCAATTCCATAGGACCCGATGGCATCCCTCTCAAATTAATAAAATTATGTTTTCCTGAAATCCTCCCAGTTCTTCTTTTCATCTACAATTTCTCCCTTCAGAATTCAGTATTCCATACATCTTGGAAAAAAGCCATTGTCCTTCCTTTAAATAAAAATTCTAATCCGACCTCACCCGAAGATTTCCGCCCAATCTCAATTCTTTCCAACCTCTCAAAACCCCTAGAAAGATTGGTGCAATCCCAAGTCTCCAACTTCCTCGAAAAGTCCAACCAACTAGATCCTCTCCAATCTGGTTTCCGTCCCAGCTACTCCACACAATCCGCCTTAATTAAAATCACCAGCGACATTCAAACTGCAACAGATGATAAAAAGTTAACAATCCTTATCCTTCTCGACTTCTCCAAAGCCTTTGATTCCATCAACCATTCCATCCTTTTCAACAAACTGAAATTATTATCCTTCTCTAATAGTTCCATCTCTTGGTTTCAATCTTTCCTTTCACAACGTACCCAAGCAGTCTCCATACCCAACCAACCACTATCTGCTTTCCTTTCTTTATCCTCTGGAGTTGCCCAGGGTTCAAGCATATCTCCTCTCCTTTTCAGCTCCTACATTAACGACCTACCTAAATCAATTCTCCATTGTTCCCATCACCTTTATGCAGACGATTCACAGATGTACCTATCATTTTTCCCTCCTGAGTTACTCGGCGCATTTGCTAAGATCCGAGAAGACCTAGATCGAATCAGTGCCTGGGCAAATGTAAATGGATTACGGTTAAATGCTGCCAAAACTCAGGCCATTGTCATTGGTTCCAAGCCCCTCCTTAGATCCTATACAGACTTTTCCATCCTTCAACTTAATGATCAGCCAATCTCCTTCTACTCCTCTGTTAAAAATTTAGGATTTTTCATTGATCAAAACCTCTTTTGGAATCACCATATTTCTCATATCACTCGAAGGACAATTTCCACCCTCAAACTATTCCATCGCTTCCGCCATCTCCTACCTCAACATACGCGTAGACTCCTAGTTTCCTCTCTCATTTTCCCCCACTTTGACTATAGCTGTGTGGTATATGATGGCCTCTCTGTGGAGCTCCGTGATAGACTGAAAAGACTAATGAACAGCTGCGTAAGATTTGTGATCGGGGCCCCAAGATACTCCCATGTTTCTCACCACTACGCTGAGTTAAAGTGGCTTTTCCCTTCCTTCCGAAGACAATATTTCCTAGGTACGTTCTTCTACCAAATCATCAACAACCATCGTCCTTCTTACGCCTACAACCTTCTCCAGTTCAAATCCTCAGTCCATTCCCTGTCCACAAGATCTCGACCTTCTAACCTTTACATGCCTTCTCATAGATCTGCCTTTTCCTTCCAAAATTCCTTTATTGTTCGCTCTGTCAATTTCTGGAATTCCCTCCCTATCAAAATTCGACATTCCCCATCCATATCCACATTCAAAACCCTCCTATTCCAATTCCTATCCCAAAAACAGTCAGATAGTTGCTAACCATTCGAGCTGATTTTAATAGAGAATTTGATACATTTTTATTTTTTAATTCTTTATTTTTTTCGTAAAAGTGTATACTGGTCTATAAGAGCAAACAGCTTTAAGTGTCTTGTCATAGTATTAATGGTTTTGTATATAGTTTAGTTTATTTTGTATATAGAATTTTTACCTTATATTTTTTTTTTTACATTATTTCTTTTTTTTCGATTGATTTTATTTTGGCCAGATGTAATATATTAATTTTGTTCTATTCTGTTTTTCTCAAGGGACCGTGTACCAGAATAAAGTTATTTTTCTATTCTATTATAAGTACTTTTAATTTTTTTATTTGAAATAATTGACCATTTCACACTGATTTCTAATATCATAAACCATCATAAAAAATACATAAACAGTTAAATATAAAATATGAAAGATTTGGATGATTAACTAAAGGAGAAATAAGAGATCGTAACGGAGATTTGTTAAATTGGAGGTACCAAAGTGATACGAGCACACCCGAGCTCATTCAAAATATTAAAACAGTCTTCCATACGTAATATGAGTTTAATATAATACGGAATTCGACAATATTATGTACATATACATATGCAGTTTTCATATCATGTCATTTTTGGTATTATCTAATATTTAATTGTATAGAAAGCTGCATCCTGTTTTCTGGAACAACTCTATTTCAAACGTGAACAAGTGGCGGATCTTCACATCTATCGTCGAGTTCACATTAACCTACGGATGTGAGGCATGGTCGATGATAGCTAATATGCCAAAATACGGACTGTAGAAATAGATTTTTAGAGGAAGTGTCTACAGTTATCGAGGCAGGACAGAGTACGAAATGAAGTAGTGAGACAGAGATAAATAAATGTGTCGAGCTCGGCTCTGACCTGAAGAGGTATCCCACGTTGGAACACCGTAAATAAGAAGAAGAAGACTTGTATAGATTACAGCGATATAAAAATAAAAATTTATATATACAGGGATATTTAAACAAATAAAAGTACACAAAATGAAATATAAATAGATATAGCGTCTATAATTTTAACTTTTACTTCCCCTTTGTCTGAAAATAATTATTTCTGCTAAGAAGTGGGTGGTAAGTGAAAGTTGTGTGGCTTCTTAGTACTACTGACCATAAGCTGATGTAATTGCCGAGCTGTTTATCGATAGGTCTGTATAATGAATAAGATGCAATCGAATACTGTAACTGGATATCGATCGTTTGCGTTAGCAAATGGGCTATATAGAACTGTATTTTTTTTTCTTTTGTTCCGCTACAAGTCTCTTTTGTCAGTTTTTTTTTTTTTAGTTCAGTTCATTAATTTAGTAAAATATTTCGTAGAATTATTCAGTTTGGATTCATTTTAAAATCACTCCTCTAATATAAGAAATTATTTAGCATTTTATTTTATTTTAACTTAGCACAATTGGATATGTACTATCTCGTTCATAAAATTAAGCTCTATGCAGCTAATACCACTGGAGGATCCTTGTGTGAAGACAGGAAAGGAGGCACTAGCGGATCCAGAATTTAATTTTGGAGGGGGGGGGGCTTCAGCCCGAAACCTTTTTTTTTCATAAAAATAACGATAATTACTTTGGAAAAACAGAAAGAAACTAACTACCTATATGAAATGGTGTTTAAGTTATTCCTTAAGTACTTTTAAATGTAATTACACTAACAATAATACTTTAAGAGGTACTTTTTAAATGTTTTTTCCCATAAACATGGTTATATTTTTCCATTTTGGGGGGGCTTCAACACGAAAGCCCCTCCCTCCCCCCCCGTAGATCCGCCCGTGGAAGGAGGGGCTGTAGAACTAGAGCTTTACCAAAAATGGAAAAATAATTTTTTCTGTTGTGAGTAATATGAGCTAAAATACTTAAACAACCATAACATGTACTCTTTATAAATTATAACGCATATACAGCTATTAAATGTAAGCGCGAAAAAAAGGTACTTTATTTTTTAATAGGCCTTCTAGATCTAATTAAACCATCATTGTAAATGTATTATTTCTTCCTTTTCTTCTGGGGTGATAACCGTTATATATATATAAAAAAGAAAAAAAATATACATATATCATATCCTGAATCTGCTAGTAGCCAATAGAAGTGAATAACTTAATCAATTATTTATAAATGCGCACATATCGATAACAGTTAACAAAGAGGCTGTTATGATTATTTAAACAGAGAGAATGTGAAGGAAAAGAAACTTGATTGGGATAAGGAAAAGCTTTCCTCCATATAAGCACCGGCACGTGGCTGCCATTTATTGCTATTTAGAAATGGATCAGTAGTTGTGCAAGGTGATTTCAACCAGTTCACGCCCATGACCAGATTTTTCCCTTTAATTAATTATTTAATTAAGAATACCCAATTTGTAGAGGGTACTCCCGAAACCAGGGTCGACCTGCATATAACAGAATACATATCTGTCGCAGCCGTACTCGTACCCGTGCCCGGGGTATAGGAACACAATGCCTTACTCGCTAACTGTTTATAATAACGAATTAAAATTATGAAAATAATTATAATAAATATTTTTTATTATAGGAGTGGATACGTCACAAGTCGGACATTGATCCTCCGTAGGTTAGATGATGATGGATTTGTGATAATGACAGACAACCGAAGCAAAAAATCCCGACAACTTGTGAGTATTACTTCAGTCTAATATTTTACTTATAATGTATAATGTAATACCTATATAAAAATTACAAAAATCATGATTTTAAACTCAGAAATAAAATTTTAATTATTTAATTTAAATAGGACAAATTTGAGATCAGAACTTTAAAAACTATTTGCATTTGTTTTTGTTTTTTTATATTTTATCCATAATTCTTTGATACTTTTTGTTTTCCTATTTGTTCAACAAAAGCTCAAGCAGCGTTCTTACCTGTTCGTGTATGTATTAAACGGGAAACGATTAAATAATTTGATATACCAATTTCAATCAAAATTATTTTATTAGTGCCAATCATGGACGGATCTACGGGGGGAGGGGCTTTCGGGCTGAAGCCCTCCCCCCCCCAAAAAAAATGGTAAAATATAGCCATGTTTTATGGCAAAATATATTAAAAAATTATCTCTCAAAGTATTATTGTTCGTGTAATTACATTCAAAAGGACTTGAGGAATCATTTAAACACCATTTCCTATAGATAGTTAGTTATTTATATTTTTCCAAAGCAATTATCGTCATTTTTATGAAAAAAAAAGCTATCGGGCTGAAGTCCCTCCAAAATCAAATCCTGGGTCCGCTAGTGATGCTAATAATACCATTCCCTTTGATTATACAATCTTAATCGTATTTCATGCAACAATTTAATATAGATTTCTAAAAATTTCACATTATTAAGCATTTTCTTAATATGATAATATGAGTTGTATAGGACTTCAATGCAATTCATGAGCCAACCTCCAACAAAAATTCATAAAATTATATAATTTTTACCAATGTTCTATTTACAGAAAAGAATACTATTTTGAATAAAATTTTGTTTTTCAGGAGGAGAACCCAAATGTGGCCATGAACTTCCTTTGGATTAAAGAAGATCCAAATGGCCTCTTACTATCTAGACAGGTACAATAATTTGTTTAAGCATTTCAAATTTGTCATTAATCGTCAGTAGATGAGGTGAAAAAAAGTCTATTGTTGAAATAAAAAACACTTCAAAAAAGTGTTTACAAAAAAATAGGTCACAATGAGGAGTAGAAAATTATTTGATATCTGTTGAAAAACTGGCGCCCAGTAAATTTTTAGGAATCATCCAACTCGAGAAAGCTATGTTTGGCTAAGAATTTTTGAATATTTTTTCAGATTAAATTTTTTAACTATTATACCATAAAGACAATCTTAATCTAGGAATATACAAATTAATTGCTCTTCTGACACATAAATAAATAGTAAAAACATCTACAACTAAAAATTATGAATTGATAATACAAAGAGAAAATATTAGCTTAACTTTAAGGAAATTAAAGTTTGAACTCTGAACATTTAAATTTCTTTTTGTAAAATTATGATAAAGGATACTGCTTCCTATTAATTTAGATTCTTTTAATTGTCTACTATTTTATATGTAACTAATGAAATTTAAACAAAACTTTTAAATATTTTTCAAGGTGCGAGCTGAAGGTAGCATAAAGCAACTGGTTGAAGATGAATGGATTGATATTTATGAAAGGGAACCACTCTTCTGCAAAATCCGAGCTCTTGTATGCCACCAAGGGACAAAAATTGAATGGCAAGATCTAAAGGACAGCCATGACAACACCTTAAAAAAATGGCAGCATGGAGAACTTGTGATGGAGAAACCAAACCATGTGTAAGTAAAGTAGAACATGTTTAATAAATTAAAAACTTTTTATTTATTTTTTTCTATAAAAGATGTTAATTGAAACTTTCCTCGGTATATTATTCATTTATTTGCAATGATTTGAAATATTTGAATCTTATTGGTTAATTCTTGAATTAAATATTTTATCTGAATATACCTTCAAGGCTGCCAGTTATAAAAGTGATATTAATAAAGGCTATTTTAAGCAAATATAGTGAATAAAATAATAATTTAATGATTTTTAATGATGATATCAATGAATTTTAGTGTAATTTTATGGCATTTCTTACCATCTATGTAGAATAATTTTATTGCACTATAATAATCTCTCCATAATTGATTTTTTCAAACTTAACAATGTAGAAAATATTATGGTAAAATCAATATTAAAATCAACTAAGAGAAAGTTGACTTGAATTGCTGATTTGATTGTATTTGTCTTTTTTTTCAGAGTTGCATATAAAATGTTCCCTACGATGATGGAATTTTATGAAGCTTATGGTTCAAAAATAGCTGATCGAGTAATGTTTCTGAAACAAGGAGAAGACTGGATTTCGAATAGGATAGCTGCTTAAACATGATGAAAAAAATTATATTTTTAAATTTTATATATAATTATAAAATAAATGTTATTAATTTCTTAATAAAATACTTTATTAAAGCTGATAGTATTATCTCAAAATAGGCATATTTAAGTTAAATAAAATTTAATTTAAAAATACTTGGTTTAGCAGTTTCCTCTCTCATATTTTGATCTCATTGTTTAATATATATATATATATAACATATATTTATACATTAAATATATATATATATAAAATGACAATGAGAGATTAATTAACCATCTCTAAATCAGATATGAATCACTATTTTTTTTCAATGCACCTGCTGAAAATTTATAACTGTTGTGTGGGCTGCATTTAAAAAACTTATGATAATACATATGTAATATTATTTTTGATAAACATTACAGTGCAATGGTATACTAATTAATAAAAAATATGAAACAAATATTTATAAAAAAGCTTCTTTGGTTTTAATTGGTAGTAATTATAATATATGTAATTACTGCATAATATGTGCAGAAATAGTTGACCCAGCAATTTGTACAGAACATTATAAATTTTTAAGTGATGATCCCATTGTGAAAATTAATTGTTTACAGGTAAGAGTGCTTTCAAAAAAGGGTTTATTAATAGATTTGCATGTGAACATGTTTGGGATAATTTTTCTAAATTTGAAATTTCTGTAGAAATAATGTAGCTGTAAATTTGAAAATTTCTTCTTTAAATCTATGTCGTTTTGTAAGTCTATTAATTGCATTTGTAACACATCAGTTACAAATTAAATAATCTATATTTAAAGAAACCTTCGATAAGTTACCTAGGAAATAGAGCATGAAATTAATATTGATTAAATTAGATTGTTCCTATTACCATGCTAATATTATTCTAATTATTTTTCAAAATAAAATTCCTATTTTTTCAATTAACTGACAAAGTTCTACTTAGGAAAATTGCACTGCCGTAACAATAAGAAACAAAACATTTAATACTACTAAGTACCTTCCCTTTAAAAATTTTAGTACTATTATTATCTATAAAAAATGCACTTTTATGAATGAAAAAATAATACATTTATTTAAAAGTAAATTACAATAATTTCCTACCTCAATTTGAAAAATTTTTTTTTTTCTTTAATAGCTCAAGCGTTGTTTCTAAGCTATTTTAATAATTATAAATGTGATTTCAACATTTATTTCGCGATAGTAAAAAATTTACCTCTAAACTTCATGAATTATGAATCGAACAGACTAAGGAATAAGTGGTAGAAACATTATTTAAAAAATATTTCGTGGTTAAGTTTTATTGGAGCGCTTTAATTTACTTTTCAGTAGTTTAAAACAAGCTTTAAATAGCCTGCAGAAAATGAGGATGACATCAATGTACAAATGAATATTACCTCTTACAAATTCACTTGAAGAGATCTTTAAACTCTTATTTTCCAACATCGCCTGAGTATCAAACATCAAATACTGTAAAAAAAAAAGAATAATTAATAATAATAATAATAAAGAGAAGAATAGTTGGGGTAGTCAGTCAAAAAAGAAGGCAAAAAATAAATGATAATATTTATTTTTTGCCTTCCTTTTTGACTGACCACCCCAACTATTCTTCTCTTCATTATCCACGACAGTCAACCAATTTCCAATTATAATAATAATAATAATAATAATATAGTATAATACAATAATGATAATAGTTAAGAATAATTAATGTGGATTATTAATATAATTATAAATTACTTTTCTATAAAAATCATATAAACTTTTTTATTTAAAGTGAAAAAGCATCTTTTTTGAAATATTATTATTTTTAATTATTTGATATTATTTAAATTTTAAAATTATAAGTGTGTATACATTTTTTTTTGTTAATACTTTATTCTATATAAATTAATAAATTATTATTATTAAAACACTTTATTCAGAAATATTACAATTTGTCACAGTTTAAGGACACTTATAATAGAGTTCAGAGATTGCATTCATACCGTATATACAAAAATATAAATAAATAAAGTAATAACAAAAGAATAAGAAAAAAGAACAAAAGAGTAAAGAAAAAAAAAATATATATATACACATAAGTAAATAAAAATAGAAATAAAAGTAAAACAAACACCTTATATAAAACATACCTATATACATTATTTACAATTTGCCAGGTGATCTCCGAACCAATCCAGTCCCCTTCACATGTGGAGGGAAAAGGGAGGCTTAGGAGATCCCTACGCTTCTCCCTCAGCCACTTCACTGGTATTTTAAACCAGCGGAGGATGAGTAAGAGCGCTACAGCCACAGACACTCATGACTTGAGTGGAGAATCTGGCCATTGCTAGAACTCCAAAATATCCATATTTACAAAAGGTCTCGTGGCCACTGCCGCTTTAACCTACGAAGGGGATTGTAGGGATGGGTGGTGCTTGATAGGGATTGTACAACGGGATTTGGGTGATGAGAAAGGTTCTGGTGAAATTTGGAAAATTTGGCTGGGATAAGATCAAGAATAAATGGGATATTAAGGTCATGGTGTAGGATTTTATTGGTTACATAGAAGGGAGCATTGACTATTGTACGGAGGACTTTACACTGAAAGGATTGAATGCGTTTGATGTTAGAAAATTTGGCTGTTCCCCATAGTTCTAGTCCATAAGTCCAGATGGGTTTCAGTATTGTCTTGTAGATCAGTAATTTGTTTTCACCAGAAAGTTTAGATTTTCTATTCAGTAGTCTATATAGCTGGCCATATCGTCTGTTAAGTTCCTGTCTTTTAAGTCTAGTATGTGGATTCCATGTTAGTCGTCTGTCTAAGAGAAAGCCAAGATACCGGACTGTATCTGAGAAAGGAAGCTGGATGGAGTTAAAATAAACTGGTGGGCAGGTATTACGCCGAAGGGTGAAGGTAATGTGTTTACATTTAGATTCGTTTACCTTAATGCGCCATTTCTTACACCAGTGTTCAATCAGGAAGAGGTGCCTTTGTAAGTTTGCGGACGCTGTTTCAGGATCTGAGTTGGAAGAAAGGATAGCAGTGTCATCAGCGAAAGTTGCCAGGAGGGTATCGGGATGGACAGGAATATCAGCGGTAAAGAGAATGTAAAGGATGGGGCCCAAGACGCTGCCTTGAGGAACGCCAGCCTCAATTGAGTAACAGTCGGAGAATTCGGTGCCACAGCGAACTCGGAAGGAGCGGTCGGAAAGATAGGATCGGAGTACTAGGTATAAGGACTGTGGTAGGTGGATATTAAGCTTGAAGAGTAATCCGGCGTGCCATACCCGGTCAAAAGCTTGCGCTATGTCCAGAAATGCACCCGAGCAATACTGCTTGCTTTCTAGGGTTGAGGATATATGGTCAACAACTCGGAGTCCTTGTTGGACAGTGGAATGTTGGGAACGAAATCCGAATTGATGAGTAGGAAGGTTATAGGATTCAATTATAGGTAGGATTCGTTTCAGTAGGATCTTTTCAAAAAAATTAATAAATAAGGTTATAAGGTAGCCTGGATGGGGTGAATGGCTGCCCACTAGGGTGGAATGAAAAACACTTGTTTGGATGTGCAACTTTCTAATAGCACTCGAAAATTACCTTTTTCACTTGAAAAATTTCGCTTTTTTACATTTATATCTTGGCATACACAAGGTTATAAAAATAAATGTTACACAAGATATATAAAAATAAGATTTTTATCCAAAAGAAATTAGTTTTACATTAATTTTGTTTCTACTTTAGTTATACATTTCAGTTGTTCTTTAATTATGGAGTTTTAGTAACTGTTCTTGATCAAATTTTACATTACATACATAATAATTACGTATTATTACATAATATTTTTGATGAATGTATTGTATAGGAGGAGGTGAGGCTTAAGATGTAAATTTAATATTTGATAGGAGCCTGTGGGAAATTCTCCCTTTTGGTTTCCTCCCACCTCCTTGTCCCAGCTTAGCTCACGATTTTAAGTGATCTTCCATTAGATATCAGGCACAATGGATCAATTTGGTACGTTAAAGTTTCATCACATTTTTTTACTGGAATTTAAAGAATATGACTCGCAATCAAGACAATTCATAGAATACTATTCAGTATTTCAAGCCCGATGGTGGGGCCATAGAATATTGTGAACTATACTCGTGGGGAGACCTATTAACTAAACATGGAGTGAATTTAAAGATGAATTCGAAAATATCAATTGTTTCATTGGACGGAATACAGAAATTAAATGGAATCGTCCATCTAAAAAAGTTCACACGCGATCTGACGAACTATAAAAAATGTGATTATTTCGGTAAAATATTTTACCATATAGTGCAAAGTACAGATCCCTTTTTATTAAATTATTCGCATCCGCCTAAACTTGGTTAATAACTTCATCTTATCGTTACCTAAAATATGTTTAGCAACGAAAATTCTCAGAAATTGGACGTTTTCTCATCAAATTAATTAAAATAGGTACTAAAAATTCATAGATATCCATTTGGTTTCGACACGAATCGTAAGATTATATGATTACAAAATCGTAAAAAAAAGGTGGCCTACAAGAATATTGGACCGTTTGATTTATATTAACTCGTTACTTTGACATCTTGGGAGTAGAGGTCACGCCAAACGGTCCAATATTTTTGTAGGCCACCTATATTCTCAATTTCGTGATCAACTTACATTACGATTGAGGTGGAAAGCAAATGGGTATTCCTGAGTTTTTAATTAATTAAATAGATGTCCTTTGAGACAGATTGTAATATTTTTCAATAAATAAGTTTAAAAAAAAAATTAAATAGACAAAGTTTGCCGATCTCCAGATTGAAAACGCTTCATTTCTGATAAAACATTTGTAGGTTACAGAAAAATGAAGGTATTTAAGTTGTTTTTTATATATATTAATGATTTGATAAAAAGTAGTCTGTTCCACGGACTAGTAATATTCTTTTTTAACGTTTTATTGAAAACTGTAATATAGTTAAGTAGATGAGTTGGGCTTGTGACTTAGGAATTCTATAATAATAGAGCGAAATGTGTAACTTAACTTTATTAAGTATAGAATTTATGAAAGTTCTTATTACAACTCTTGAATAATGAGGCATTAATTTACTTACCACGGATATGATAGTTACTGCTATACCAGCTATTCCCAACGTCAATAGCCCGATACCCGTCAGAAGAATGACAAGACTAGCGACAACTCCATAAATGCAGAAGACAACTCCAAGCACACAGCATATCATGCTACAGCCAGCAACGTCACACTGCAATGTAATGTATTTTTTAGATATGTTTTTTTCTCAATCGTAGTATTTTGGATTGTAAAATTTGAATCCTTTCACATTGTTGCGTCGAATTTGAAAAAGTAGAGCAGAAAAAAATACAATAATTTATCTGTGATAATTTTCTTCATGATTGGGGACAAATCTGAAATGAGGACGGTACCATAAAAGTGCGTTACTTCTCATCAGATTTTGAAAGTTTTTAGATGATTTCTATTTTTACCTACTTATATATGTCATAAAGTGAAATGTATACCTAAGACTCTTGTGTATAAGTGAAAGAAAAATCTTGTCGTTTGCATTGTTTTAATATTCAAGTGTTTTATTTTTTCGTTTTTTTTTTCGATATCTTCTTCGTTCGGGGGTTTCTGTTTATTGAGAAGCTGCTGAAAATGTTCTTTTCAGGATTCTTATTAACTTTTTGATACTCACCATTTCTCACCACCATTCTCTCCTGATCTCGGGTAGAATTCAAAACCATTTCCATCCTGTCCAACCAGTTCCATCATTTAATTTTAATTTTTCTTGACAGGTATTTATTTCACCAGAGTACTTCGATCAGTTTTTGTTTGGAAAGAATTCATTTTATTTTTTTCCTTAACAGCACTTTCTGTAAACCACTTCTTGGTTCCTTCTTTTTCCTGAATAGAGGATGTAATATTACTTTCTTATTTCTTTTTTTTTTTTCTACGTCTAAATTCTCCCAATGGTCATCAACAGTGAGGTCCTTTGAGTGAGTTTGGCCCAAACCGCGGATTTCCACCCGTACACAAAATCTTTGTAGTACGGGTAGTTTTCCGCAGTGACTAACTGAGGAAAATCGTTTTCTGTGAGAATGTAGAGACCGGTTTCCCTCAGTAATTTAACCCTTAGTTCTTTAAAGGCAGTTCAGTCGACTATGATGTGCTCAGCAATCTCCGGAACACCGCAGCTAGGGCATAGGGGTTCGATGTCCATCCCATGGCAATGAAGCTTTGCTCGAAAGCCCCTATGGCCTGTGAGAAAGTAATATGTAATATATAGTAAGAGAAAGTGTGGCTATCATGAAAATTTCCGAATCGGAGTTTTCAACGGAAATAAACGCTTTGAGGTCCTCCGAGTCCAAATAATCAAGACCGTTTTGCGGTCTATGTGTCTGTGTTTATGTGAACAGTCCAGCTCAAAAACGAAAAATCGTTGAAACACATATTACGTACTTAATATAGATATATGCCTTAGATGTGATCGCAACTTTTTCCTTAAAATCGGCTAACCGGCAGTGCCACTTTATATCAATGGTGAAACACATTTTCACAATTTTCTCAAAAACGGCTCCAACGATTTTTATTAAACTCGGTGTATCACTGTATAATTAAGAATGGTCTTAAATATTATTGAGGTCTTATCCCCATTGATGCCATTTTACAGGGCTTAAATGTCCAATGTTCATGTTCATATACGCCTTCCTCTAAAGTACCTTTAATATGCTTTATTTTGAAATTTAAACTGTCTTTTAATGACAGTTACTATAAAAAAATGGCTAAATTCGATAATTGAAGAAATGAGAAAAGAAGAAAAACGCTTATCCAGGTGAAAAATGAATCTTCGGAAATAATAGTCAGAAGGTATACGTAAAATAGTTTTTAGGCTATTTCTCAAGAACTATTTGTGCTAGAAAGCTGGAATAGGTGTCATTTTATGGTCACCATAAGATGACGCCATGCTATCGTCATGTTGTATATCGGAATGTAGAGCATAAACAACTGAAAAAGATGACACCTGGTCCTAATATACAGTAATATTTGTATTAATCATTAATCATAAAATATTTGTATCATTTGAATGTAGGAAATGCAATATTTTGAATACAAAAATAATTGTAGCAAATCCATATTTCCAAAAAATATGAATCCTCATCTTATACATTATTTTATATAGGAAGGATACTTAAGTAAATATTACCGGTCCAAATTTAGCGAGGACTGTGACGAATGTTACAACTGAATACAGAATACCGACTATGAAGACGCATACGTATGATTCAAAAAAACATACAAAAGCAGACAGACCAAGAGCCAAAAAAGCAACCTAAAAAATTATCAGATTTAGTTACAAATTAATTAGTACTTATGTACTTCAATGAAATTAAATGACAATTTCTTACCATAAAAGATAATAAAAAGAAATTGATCAAGCGCTTCTTTCTTAACTCTTTGCATAAAAGAAGAAGAAGGAATATTATTCCAGCAGCCCCACTGTGGAAATATGTTTTAGTTTAGATAACGTACTGTATAATGTAATTGTTTAAAATAACAGGTGGCGAGCCTGCGGCCTCGGTGCCGCGGGCGGCCTCCGTGAGCTAGTTGCGGCCTCGGAGCTCGCATGCTGCTCCCGTCTGTCCTAGAGCGGTGTCCTAGGTGTTCATTAATTTAGAGATAGAATGAACTAATATTTGATTATTGAAGTGGCGAAAATTTGGAAATTAGGTTGAATATGTGTTTATGGGTGTGTATTTACTTAAAAATAAAATATTATATATTTAGTAAAGGAATAACAAAACAATTTGGAAATAAGTAGATCTTATGTACTATATGAGGGAAGAATTTATTATTTTTCCTTGATCAATTACAATATTCCATTTAACATAATAGACCAAAATATTTGAACATATTGCTTTGTTAGGGACTATTTTTAAACGCTGAGTGGAATGATAATTAAGTCAAAATAAAGCCTCGATCTTGTGATTTTCTAAATTACTGAAAATTATAAAGGGTACGAACAAACAAATGCCTTTATGGAATAATGAAGTTAATATATCTGCCAGCAAAAAAAAAAGTGTAGCACAATAATAAATGCAGTATCTTTAAAGAGGAAAACATTATTAACTGCACTAAAATAAATGGACTGTATATTTGTAAATAAATGTCCGATTTTTACGTGTTTTTTTTTATTTGTTGTTAATTTAGAAATCTTTGCAATAATCATGGGTACAATCCAGAAACAAATAAACAAACAAGAATAACTTTTTGAGTTATTCGCAAATAAAGTTTCTTTTTTTTCTCTTCCCTACCTTGCCTTTTCGAGTATACAGGGGCACTAACGGATCCAGCTTCAGCCCGAATGATTTTATTTTTTGTATGAGTATATTAGGATAATTACTTCGTAAGAAAGAATGAAACTAACAACCTATATGAAATGGTGTTTAAGTGATTCTTGAAGTTAATCATCTATTATTATGCATCCTATTAAATGCAATTAGACGAACAATAATACTTTTAGAGATCATTTTTTCATAAAAAATAGTTATATTATCTTATACACGGTGGGCCAGATCCCATTACCGTGCACCCCCCCCCCCCTTCCACATCCCTATAAATTGCATATCGTTGTGTTCCTTGTAACTATTTATTAAAAAAAAGCCAATGTTCCCACAAAAAAAAAAGTGAACGCAATGCCCCAAAATGGCGTCCAAAGATGGCGGATTGACGACTTTGACTTTTGTTAGTTTTTTGGTCACTGGGAATCAGCATTTGGCTTAATTTCCTCATAGTTGGTCTTTTATTAAAGCTTAATAGTCATAGAATAATAAAACGTGAAGAAATATTAAAAAATAATTGGCTTAGGCTATGAAAAACATCAGTAAAATTAATTTTTTTGTTAAAATTAGAGACATTTTACGGAATTTTTTTTTTTTTTTTTGGAAAAAGTTGTTAAAATAATAGTTCTATAAGCAACTTGTTTATAATGATGTTCGAGATTTATTGTTAAAGTCTATCTTTTACTTTTTTTAATTCTTGACAGAAAATGAGAAATATACATTGGGCTTAGCTTACATATATAATTCATGTTAAATGAATTGACTGATTCTTATATTTTCTTTGTTTGAGTAGCTAAGAATGTACTATTATCATTTTTTAGATTTAGCTTATGGCGAATTGAATAGCTTTAATTGAACTTTTAAATAAAAGTTTTATTAAACCTTTAATTGGAATGTACTATGGGAAAAATTCTAGTACGGAAATAATAGCAAAACAATTGAAAATAAAGATCCAAATCATATCGGAACTGACTAAAGTTGAAAGTTTATTTTTCATTTTTATTCTCTAGTTAATAGGGATCGAATTATCGAATTAGTAATGTTTGGTGGCGTTTTTATGTCCTATCAAATAGTAATTACATTTTTTTGTGATTTTCACTTAATATTATCTGTTAAAGTATAATAATAAATATGTAACATAAATAACAAGTTACTTACAAAAATGCATACATGAATATAACATCTCCTTCAAATAGAAACCTGAAAGTATCTCTGAAAAATAGAAAATTATTTTCTTTAAAAAATGTTTTTGTTATCAAATACAATATGGAATAAAAGTAAGCATACATTCTACAAATTGATTAAATTTATTTTACTTTTTTTCTATTGAAAAAACTATTTAATTTTTTTATTCCATCTGGCCACTGACAGTTACCTGTACACATCGCTATTAATCTCTTACATCATTAATTCTGTTTTTATTTATTTTAATGAAAGATTATCGAAAATTGAGAAACATCTCGAAAGTCAAGCCAGTCGTTTCGAAGAAATTATTCTGGAAAATAAAGAACTCAAATCACGAGTGGAGTGAACTGGAAGATTGCCAGAACAATCCAGAACTGGGACTATTATCCAGATTCCTGGAGATTCGAGGGAACGAGCGGGCGAAACCAGGACATGGTGCATAGCCGCGGTGGCGGGGCGGCCGAATGGGCCAAGGTCAATAAAACTACCAGGTTCGCTCACTCAGAAATGCGTGGTGGGGGAACTTGAAACGTGACGTAAGGAATAGACTGTCAGACCTACCTATTACTCTTTCAAGCCTATCAATGAAGGCTTATTTCAACATTATTATTCTTTTTCTTTTTTTTTTCTTGTTTAATTTATTGAGAAGAATACTTCTCTGTGTTTTTGACGTTTGATAGTAGGTAATTTCATGTAGATAAATAAATAAATACGGCTATCAATCTAGAATAAAATGCTATGAAAATTACAGGCCAGGCCTGAAACGAAATTGATATTAAGATTATTTATTATTTATTTTTTTTTGCTGTTATTTAACGTCTGCCAAGGTCATCAGCGACGATCGTTCTTCTTAAATATAACTTATCAATTTTATTTTTCGGATGTACTTCAGCGTTTCAATACCAGTGTTTTCCTTGTACGGTGCCTTGTCTTCAATTTGGAGTTCGATTTACTGTTTCCGGTACTTTTTGCACTGGAATATGCGTTCAACCGTCAGATTAGCATTTTCACATACCTCACATGTTGGTCGATGTAAGCCAAGAAGTAGGTGGAGATGGGTCAGTTTGGTATGTCCAAATCTGTGTCTGCTTCTTATAGAACACTCTTTTGATTATTTATAAATTCTTTATTTCAAAATATCTGTAAATAATGTATAAATATATTACATAAATAGAAAAAAATAAGATTTATATTTGTTTAGAGAACATTTTAGCACAATGTTTGTAGATCTCGTGGGTATTTCTTTTAATATTATAATAATATTATAAAGGTGAAGATCTTTGTCAGGATTTGCAGTCAAAATTTCTTTAAATAAATGAATTGAATTAAAAAAATAAACAAATTTTACTACAAATTCTGATAATGTATTTTCACCTTATAATCATAACAGTCAACTACTTATCCGTCTCTAAAATAATATTATAACGAGCATTTATTTTTTTATTTTTAATAACATGTTACAGAGAATTCGTTTGTTCTTATTAGTATTTCTTGTATTTCTCATAATAACATAATTATTAATAGAATCCTATAGAATGCCAGGTACAAAATGCTCAGTTGCATCTTGCAACAATAATCTAATTACCACAAAGAAGATGGGAAAGAAAATTTCATTTCATACTATTCCAAAGGACGCTCTAAGAAAAGATTGGATTTTAAAATGTAAATGTAAAAATATTGTAAAAAAAAAAATATTGTAAAAAATTTAATATATTTATCTTAGGAAACAAAATGTAGAAATTAATGAAGAAAGCCTTTCTTTCAGCAACGGGTATTTAATAGAATCAAATTTTTAAATACTCAATGATTTATACAACAATTGAGAAAACATAAAATCAAAGCAAACAAAATTGAGAAAAATCACTACATAGGATTACTTATGACATTAAAATTTTATATTTACAAAATTTCACGGAAAGAAAATGATTCTTTAATGTTAGATTAAATACTTTTTCTTTTTTTTCAATAATTCTATTATTTCATATTATGCTAGTGTTTATTTGAAATATTTAAAAAGTAGTAGTGTGGTACTTTGCAAAAAATCATACATCAACTTGTTAAATTGCATTTTATTTGCTTCAGAATAAACCAAATATCAAATCAACCTTTCTCTCACTTTTCAAATTTATTAAAATTAATAAGTTATTTGGCAATCCAGTATTGATTTAATGTATAAAAGTAAATAATAATCTTAAAACGTCCAGAAACAAAGGCCGGAGGGGTAAAATCAGTCTTTTGGCTACGTCAGAGCTCAATTCCTCCCCACCATTTTCCCTCTAAGTGAGCGAACCTGGTAGTTTTACTGACCTTGGAATGGGCTAACAGCACCGCCGTTTCCCAACAACATGATATATGATACAAATGGTTAAAATAAGTCACGAGTTCGCGTCCCGGTGACGGGGGAGTCTTTTAAATCTCCGTCCAGGACATGATCACTCGGACACAAGAAGGAAGACATCAAAAAAGCACGTTAGGTATGAGACAGTGCGTTTCTCAGGCGGTACTTCCTGCTGAAAATGTCTCTTCTTAAACTTACCACTTATTAAATGGCTTAGTTGATATTATACAGCCTCTTTTCAGTCAATTTCAACAACTCTCTCAAGTAACATAAGCCTGCTGTCCTATTTATGGCCCATAAAAGCTTAACTGTGCGTTTCTATCCATCCTTCTTCTATGGGACACAAGGGGACTTCTCGAAAATAAAACAGAACTGGTCATATACTTGCATGAAAAACGAATGCTTTGGACATTGCTACATACTGGCATTGCTTTGGTAACAGAAATACACCTAACTTCTCGAAATAAAGTAAATATCCCAGATTACACAATTCAGATCACCCAGACAACACTTAACATGGCGGAGCTTCCATCATTGTCGAAACATCATGCTATATATTTACCAAAAAAGCCAGACATACAAGCTGCTGCTATAACACTGCACTCCATAACATTAGCAACAGTATACGGTTCCCCTCGTTACTCGCTGACATCCGACATGTTTTGTAGTATATTTGAAAAATTGGGAAGGTGTTTCATTACAGGTGGCGACTAAAATGCCAATCAATTATGAGGGTAGCGATTGTGCTCTCAAAGAGGTAGAAATACTTGGTCTGCACTCCATAAGCTTTCGTTGAACATCATATCACCAAATACTCCAACTTATTGGACTACATCGAGACTAAAATCACCTGACCTACTGGATTTCTTCCAGTAGGCCATACTTTACACAGAGTTAAATCTAGTTGTGATCTATGCTCTGATCTTTCCCTTCTACACTTGGTCCTTTTTGAAGAACCATGTCAAAAGGAAGAACGCCCATCACTTATTCAAGAAAACATATATTGAAATTGTTTTTAGTTCCTCTCTCACTAAAAAAATGAAAACAGAATTGAAGAACACGGCGAAGTATTAACAAAGAACATCTAAGAATCTTCACATATCTCATGAATTCCGAAACACAAACAAATAAATATCCCGCCTAACTACCCACAGTGTATAAAGAATTATACATACCATCGGATAAACAGACATTTACCAAATAAATAATGAACTAAAACGACAAATAAAAAAATTCAAACAAACTAACTATGATACTTTTAATAAATAAACTCAGCACCGACGATGGTAGCTTATGGAGACAAAGCAAAAAGCTACTAAAGCATCGTGAGGTGTCTGCGCCACTATGAAAAAAGGATGGTTCTTGGATCGAGTCTGACAATGAAAAAGCTAAACTCTTTTCTGACCATCTATCTACTCTCTTCACACCACATGCAGACTACCCAGATAATTAATATGAAAATTATATACAAGATTCTCTTAAAAGCCATGATTGACAAAGTTGAATTTCACTGCTCTACAAACTTAAATCATTATTTCCTTTAAACTATTATCTCATTCTTCTCTCCTTCCGTTCAAACAGATTTTTCTCTGTCCGACAGGGATCGGAAACCTCTTCCATACATGTAGTAAGGGCCGAAGTACCACAGGGATTGATTCTTGCACCTTTACTGCACATTATAAACTCAAATGATATACCAACTTACCCTAACACATTAATTATATCCTATGCAGATGATACTGCTACTCTCACAAAACAAGTTCACATCAAACAAGAATCGTGGACCCTACAACATTATTTACAAATATTACAAGAATGGTTTAAAAATGAAAAATTAAACTCAACAGTGATCTCTGCACATCACCTTCATGCTCCGACATGAGCCTTGTACACTAGTGAATATAAACAATGTCGCCATACAACAGACTAACACAGTTCATTACTTAGGACTCACGTTCAACAGGAGAATGACCTGGAGACCACACATTAAAAAAAAACTTCTTACCTTTAATAATTGACTAAGGCTTCTGTATTCTCTCATACACAAACGATCTAATTTAAAAATGAGACAAAAACTAAATGCTTACAGTTACTTACTAAAACCCGTATGGACTTATCCATCGCAAATCTATGGGGTTGCCAAAAAAGAACAAAATTTAAAAAATACGGACTTTCCACTCAAAATCTTTAAGACTCATCACGCGCTCACCCTGCAAAGGTACATGATCACACCCGGACACCATATAAAAAATTCCATGCCAAACTTCATGAAAATACCAACATACTTATACAAAACAAGGTAACGAGACATATGCCAGAAAACATCCGACGAAGGCTGAAAAGGAGCTGATTAAGGAGGTAATCTTCTAGATTAACTTTATTTGTTTCAATTTAGGAGTAGATGCCGATGGGTACCGACCTCCCTCATGCCCGATATGCCAATTCTATCAATAAAGATCACATCTACTTATTGTTACATGCTGTGACAGATGTGGATTAAATAATAAATGTTAAAAAAAAAGTTAAAAAACAAAATTTGTTTCCCACATGGATTTTTTATTGTGATTTCTGTTTTCACTTAACGTTAAAAAAAAAAATTATCCTATTTACATTTTCGACAAAAGAATTCAATTTATTTATTTATATATTTTTTTTGACAAGCCGTATTTTCTAGTTTGGAGTGCGAAACGCTGTAGTTTCATATTTCGAAGGCTACTCTTCACAAACAATCATTTTTATCGAGTAGAAACACAAGTTGCCTGTCAAGTTAGATTCATATTTTTTTTAAATTTGTATTTAACTTTCAGGCTGGGAAAAAAGTCATCCACATTAAAACGACTTATCTACCTTGACTGAATAGTTTTTAGAGACATAGAAGATGTTTAACTTCGTTTTCTAACACAAGGATTCATTCATAATGATACACAACGCGAAATAAAAACTAAACTAAACACTGTATACTAATAATAAATACATACTAATTTAAAAGATCAAAAGAGACATAAAATAATTGTTAAGGCAAAAATCAACAAAGCTTCGAGTCTCGAAATTCATTTAAATTAATAACTAGGCGATGTTTCACACATTAAGGCATCAACAGGACAAAAAAAAATTAATACCAAATACAGCACATATTAGTGCTATGTTTTATGGTTTATCAGATAGAATTCCATTCTCACCAACCCTTTGTCCGGGAAAACCACGAATAGCCCAAAAGGCGAGATTGGATTCCATTAATTTCAATTTTCTTTATTTTAAAAAAAATTACTAAGGGTATTGGGATAAGTGCCAGGTTTGGTATTCTTATATATTTTCTTGTACATTACCAATATTCTTGACAGCAATTGATTTTGTATGCTATCGTCATTATACCAGTTATTATTTATTAATTTCTTTGACTCCCACTAGAGCATCGGGCATCAACGAGTTCTTTCCATTTGTCTCTATCAGCCAGCGGCAGAAGGCTTTCTTACCTCATATGCCAACCTGGTCTAAGTCCTAATTTGCAGATCTGTGCCACGTCCCTCTTGTTCGACCCTTCTTTCTTCTTCCCTAAGTATTCCATTGTTGGGCTGTTTCTTCCATTGTCTCATCTTTTTGTTTAGGGTGAGTCCTCCTACTCAATTCCATTTTCGCTTTTTTATCTCCATATGGATAAGTAGCTAGTTCGTGGCTTTCCATAGTTCCTCATTGGATATTCGCCCTGGCCACCAAATTCCTAGTATCTTAAGCAGATATCGGTTAAGAAAGTTGTGTAGTGGGCGATCGGGCGAGTGATATTTTCGGTTACCTTTCATGTTTCGATACCATAAAAGCAGGACCGATTATAAGTTTATATTAAAAACCGTATTTTCGTATTTTTTGGGTATGTTTCTCTTCTTCCATATTTGGCAATACACTCGTGCATTTCTTAATTCAACAACTGTTTTAAAAACTTCACTCACAAAAGTTTGTAATGTGGTTTTCGTTGAGCGCGATATGTTAAAGTTATAAAACTGATCTTAGATTTTATATAAATTCAAGATAAAATGAATCATGATTTCAAATGTTTTAGAAATTGGTACTTTTAGAAGTATTCCATCAAATAATGTCTTAAGTCTGATCCCGTTTATCCTGTAGATTCTATTTTTTCCCATGATAGTAGTATTTTCACTTGGAGAAATTTAATACGTAAAACATGATGATACACGGTCAATATTATTGAAGTAATATTCTTGAACGTGGTATACATAGTACAAACGTGAATACAATTGTTACAATGTATCTCTCAGACGGAGTATTCCTGATATTCGATATCATCTCAGTGATATCGACCATGTGATCCCCACTTAAAGTAATCATGATATGAATTGAGATGGCAAGGGTCGAAAGTGTAACGGCATCGTTACCTTAGCAACCCCGGGTCAAGCGGAGCCAGTTAGAATCCAACCTGAACAAGTTGAAATTTATTTCGTAGCGGACCCACAAAATAAATCTCGACCGTCTCACTCCCGTTTAAATAGGTTGGTTATACCTGCACAATTACTCTCTCCTCTCCCTCTCCATATGCTGGAAATGGCCGGACACGGATAAAAATGAAAAAAAATATATAAGAACGAGTACATGTTGTTAATAATGTATTATGTTTACTTATACTTACAAACTAGTAAAGACAAGCAAGTTAATTAAAATATAAAATAACTGACAGGACAGCAGGCCAAAAACTTTAAAAACGAAATCTTTTCTCATCTGTTCTCTTTCTAGTGTCAAATGTTCTACGACAGCACTTGGCCTTTTCTTCATAATCCTTTCTAGCCCCTATATCAGCATATAATAATATTAATATCTCATGACTATAAATTTTTTATTCATATGAAATAAATATTTAACATAAACTTTTGGATTAAATACACATATATTAATACTATATAAATTAATATGTTTATGACACATTGATATCTGTTTTTGCAACGTGCAATGGTGCATTGATGTGCAATCTACCGTGCAAAACAATTCATCTTTGATCTTGACAATTCTTATTTTCACCATCAAATCCTATCCATATAATCCTATGTGGCTTTAATGATTTCTTAAAGAGATTCAGCATATGTAACGTTAAAGGTCTAAATAATTAACCTTACTAGAACTTACTACTGTCCATTTGTAATCATCAACATAGAACTTATGATGCCTCCTTACATCCAAGGGCTGCAGCAGATAAGCTTGTTTGCTTCCAGGCCTAGCTGGAATCGTTCGATGAGAGTAATAACCAGGATAGTAGTTAATGATCATGATACTAGATGTTATGGTTATTAGTTTTAATGAACCATATGACCAATGCCTAAGAGAAAGTGAACAGCATTATTATCAAGTAACTTCTAGAATCGTCAGCTAAGAAGCATTATTTTAACGCTTTTGTTAACCTTCCTGAAAATCGAGAGACCTTAGTAGGTTTTGAAAATAAGACATGATGTGAAACATGGACGGATTAACATGTCCCGCTGCCGAGGGGGTCTTTTAATTCTAGTACTAATCTCCCGCCCTTACATCCTGACCCGGAAAAAACCCGTGTAGCTTAAAAGGCAAGGAAGGGAAGGACAAAAAAAAAAAGCTGTTAGTGTATAACGGCATTCCAAAAGCTTTATGTCTGTCAAATACAATTAATTACTTAAAGCAATCATCACCTTAGCCAATGCCAGGCATCATAAAGACAGAAACATGAGAATGTCATAAAAATACAGAATAATAACAGGTATAGTCCCAAAACAGCCCTCCACTAGGGTCGGAACATCACTTGTGAGATCGGCTTGATTAATCCTTTGCAATCTTATAAATTTGATTGTTTTTAGGAAATTGTTGTAGACCAAGTAATTAGCAGCTTCCTTCATAAAACGTTTCCAACAGCAGCTGTTTTAAGAAAAGAACAGCACTTTCATATGAGAAATATACAAATTATTATAGTGGCCAGTTCTATGAATCGCATGGATTCTTCAAGGAGACTATAGTTGCTGTTGGTTGCAATGCGTCCAGATCGATTGGAACTGAATAAAAACTGGGTCCGGGAGAATGAGGATGAATTTTCTCTTTTTTTTTTAAATAGTTGTTTTTAGATTTTTTTTTTCAGCTGCCAGGGGAGGCGAGCCCTCCGAATGAATGCGCTAGTGATTGGAAATCCAAATAAAAGTCACTTCCCATCAGCATTTCGGTTCCATATATTTCGTAGTTCTTAGTAGAAAGAGTAGGTAGGGCCAGGCTCGTCGTCTGGTTTCTAAACACCCATGGCAAAATACAACTCACTAAGTGATCTTGCATTTCTTAAAAGATTATGGGCGTCTTGCGCCGACCGACCATTAGTCTATTTCCCCATGTTTTCTAGTTTTTTTTTTATAAAAATAAACATTAGAATTTTAATTTAGACATCGACATATTTTTGATTATTTTGTATGACAAAATTTTGTGTTAAAAACCATACCATTCAAAACCAGAATGTATATATCTCGCTTACCTCTTTACAATCTTCTATCCTTGACTCTCTTTGATAATATATATCGATAGTAAAAGTTCTATACACTCCGTGTGACAGTTTCAATAACTTCTGTATTTATAAAGTTATGTATTAATTTTGTTTTTTAGTTCTTTTATCTGAAATCATAAACATGGCTCTACATTCCGCTATAAAGGGAAAACTTTTAGCAGTTATTGGGGATGAGGTATTTTAATTATTGTATTAAGAAATATTTAAATTTCAGAAGTGGGCGTTGCCCCTAATTCTAAAAACAATATGTATTGTAGGATACCTGTGTTGGTTTTCTTTTGGGAGGCGTTGGTGAAATAAACAAAAATAGGCATACAAATTTTATGGTGGTTGATAAAAGTAAGATTATTTAACATATTTTTTAGAATTATAAATTTTAATATTTATTTTCATTTGTATTTCTTTTTCAATTAGATTCAAGTGTTGGAGAAATCGAAGATACTTTTAAACGCTTTTTAAAACGAGATGATATTGATATTATTTTAATCAACCAGAATGTAAGAAGTTACTATATTTAGCGCTGTTCATTTTGTTTTATGATGAATTCTAAGTAATGTTACATTTGTTATGTTAAGATTGCAGAGATGATTAGACATGTCATTGATGCACACATTCAGCCCATTCCAGCAATTTTAGAAATACCTTCAAAAGATCATCCTTATGATGCCAACAAAGATTCTATTCTACGTAGAGCTAAGGTATGTTTGATACACTAAATTATTATTAAAGTTGAATTTTATTTGTACAATTTCATCTTAACTCATTTATTTAAATTATGTTTATTTAATAATTGATTTATGAGTATCTTTTTTTTTAGGGTATGTTCAATCCAGAAGACATGATATAATCATGCTGCTATACCCTGAAGGATTATCACTCACTAAACTCTACTACTGAAAAGTAGAAAAAAAAAGTAACAAAAATTAATAATTGGATTTAATTGCTGTGGAATAAAAGATATTGTTTAGTTTGTTAGATTTCAAAGATGTCATGTATGTACAGTGTATGCATATACGTATATGTCTGTAAAGATCATTCTTAAATCTTAATATGTTCCATAATAGAAGTATTTTAATGGTTAAAATCTAAGTAATTAATATTATGAGTGAAGAATTTTAATTTTATTGTGTATATAGCTTGCAGATTTACTATATCATATGTTTATTGAATTGTTTCAAATAAATTTTGAAAAAATATTACATATATATTACTTTTATTTATTTATACCTTCATCTTAATATTTTTAGCATATTAACACATTCGCTGCTAATGAATTACCTCATAGATGCCAGCTATGAGTTCATTTATAGAACATTTTTGTTTTGCATACACTACTTAAGATCAAACGCATAGTATTTTCATGTTCTTTGAAGATATCTGGCTTTTGGGATGTGTGTGGTAGAACCGTTTTTGAAAATGTCTCTAAGCAGCGAACATGTTACTTACTATTTATGCTTCCCTTTAATGTTTAATGCAAACTATTAACTCAATATTAAGCTTTTTTCAAATTAGTATGAGGAATGGGTAAGGCACTGAATTCAAACTCTGACCCAGGTTTGAGTATAGTTTTCGAAAGGAAATTTATTTCCTGTTTTATATATATATATATATATTATATATATATATATATATATATATATATATATATATATATATATATTATATATAATGAGTCCACAGTATAGATATTCTTTGGTTTGACGAATTTGTGGTGGTTAAACTTAGTTTCCAATATTACATAGAACTAGAGTTAGGCTGTTTTTTTTTTTTTTTTTTTTTTGTTCTCACCTTTTAGGCAATACAGGGTGTCCCCAGAGCAGAGGGTGAAGGTGGGGGATTAATGCCAGAGTTAAAATCTGCCAGACAACGCAGTACTGTCAATTGGGTGGGTTAGCCCGGTCGGCCAACGCAGCTCCTAACCAGAGTTAAGTGAATGTGGCTCTTAAATGAAATTTTTGACAGTTCCTATTGAATAGGCATAGGAGGAAGTAACACTTATTTTAATGTATTCTGAAATGGTGTAGGAGTTCTATCAATGTCAGCACTCATTAAAATAATTTCCTCTACTAGTGTGTTTTATCCACTGACTGCACCCCCTTCCAACTTCTGCAAGTGTTTATGTGCTTTACTTGCTGCGATGTGAAATCAAACAAAAGTTATGAGTGCATTATATTGTCGTTTTATAACAATGATGAAGTCAACGATTCACAACTTTTCAGGAGAGCATAGCATTGGTTTGTTGCAAGTCGTTAAGTAACATTTGAGGAAATTAAACCACTTAGGAATAATTTAACTTAAATATAATAAAACATTGTACATTTAGTCTATTTTTGATATATAATAGGGTTAGTATTGTTTTGATACAGTAGAACAAGTTTTATCCATAATAAATACCATCAAAATTCACAAATATGTACTCAAAAGCACAAGACAGGCTTTATTAAAGGAAAATCCACAATAGATCTCTTTTCATGCAGAGTAGCATTGGAAAAATGGAGAGAGTATAAAATTAATACTCATCAGCTCTTCATAGATTATCGGAATGGATAACGTTAGTGCAACAAGAGAGATTGTCTTACATGCCTACTTTTTAACTTGGCTCAGGAATGTGCAGATGAGAAGATAATGAATCCAAGTTGGAAGAACAATTTTGAATTGAACTGCAATGATCCTTGGGTATGGCATGGGACACACCTTTGAAGTCATGTAAGATGTATTTTTGGAATTCTGACAGGCGGATCCTAAGGAAAACCTCGAGTGCAATATAATAGAATGTAAATGGAGTCTGGAGACAGTGGACTAATGCCAAATTAATGCAACAATATGGGAATGCTGGTGTGATCTTTATTAATGAAAACCGCCTCACATGAGCTGGACATGTTATCACAATGTCTGAAGATCATGCCCCAAAAAACATCCTCTCGGAAGAAATTTTTGAAAAAAAAGAAAACCAAAGTTGTGGTGGATAGAAGGGGTAACTGCAGATGCCCAACCCATGTTTAAGATCTGGAACTAGATGTCTCTAAGTAAGACGTAGTGCCATTTAAAAAGAAGAAAAGTGCACCTACGAACTTCTTGCAATAAACCAAACAAGACTTTTTAGGAAATGATTTCCTTTCTTCCCATTGTTACAAGAGGGATGTTGAAATATGAAAGTTATAGATTAGTCCCTATATCAAATTTATTGCATTTGCTTTTTTTACAGGACACGAACGATGTAGTAATTTATATTATATTCAAATATTTTCATAAAAGCTCATTTTTGAAACCACTACTAAATTTTTTTGTATTTTTAAATTATATAAATTAATTCCAATATTTGAACATACCCTGAGTTGCAGGAAATAATGACCTAACCTATAATTTATTTACATTAACATTGTTTTTCTAATTAGAGTAATAGATCCATCAGAGTTTTATGTAAACACTTAGGTAAAATATCCTAAAATACAATCATAACTTTTATTCAAGTTTTGTGAAACAATTAATCATATCTTACCTCCCGGCTTAATGCTTTAATAGTGTAGGCTCTTATTTCCTTTCCATGCCTTTGAATTAAATTTAATACATCAGATAACCTTTCTTAGGAGAAATTAAATATTAAAACATAACAGATTATTATATTTTACTATTAAATTACACACCAAGCAATAAATATGAGTACAATTCACAATCACATGAAAATATAGACACTTCATAGGTGGTAACATCCATTGAATAAGTATTTCCCTACAGCTAATTTAGTTTCATATTCAATTAAATTATTCTACTCCTAATTACTTTATTTAAATTAAAACAAAAAATAATAATAACTGAATATCACATCTCATATCATCGAGTGGTTATTGACAACTTATATCACAGACAAAAATAAATACCAATATCAAGACTTTTTCCAGAAAAATAATTTAATACAAAAATATTTGGATAGCACAAACTCTATTATTGCATTACTCATTTATGTTGATTAAATGCTTTGGACACCTGTGTCTTCTACATGGCACATAATGAAAGCTTTATGTACACATAAATGTATGATTAACATACACATCAAATAGAGGGTTACTAAATTGATGAAGCAAGTTAATAATACTTTCAATATTAGTCAAGGAAAAGAAAATAGAAACTGGGCAGATGATTACGAATTATAAATTAAATTTATAATTTTCAATAAAAGTGTGAAACCACCCAAGATAAAAACATTTGAGTTTTGAATAACTTTATTAGAGTGTAAATTTTATGCACAACTAATTTTACATAACATTGTGTTGCAAATTTAAAAAACTCACTGTGATGAAAATTCATTTTTTTTTTTAAATTGTTTTCTTTTTTAAAAAGGTTCTTGGGTGGTGTTTCACATTTTTGCTGACCCAATGCTTCTCTCAAAATTAATCGTAAACAGTGGTATTTTACCCTAATAATAACATATATTAAACTTTGAACTTATTTGGCATCAACATAAATACTTTTCCTTTAACTTTTTACAGTCATTTGCATTTTCTTAATTTGTAAATAATAATCACAATCAACATACAATAACATATAAATTGATTACCTTATAATATGCTCTTAAAAGTTTATGTAGATTTATACAAATATAAAATAAGATTTTTAAGATCCATTTTTTTTTTTAGCAATTTTTTAAAAATACCAGTCTAAACTTTTGTTCAAACTATACCGGTTCACACTCTTATAATTTAAACAGGTTTTAAGAGCCAAGTCTAATAATATACTTAATCAATTGACCATTTTAATCCTTAATAATGTAAAGAGTTCTTTTACTCCAAGTTCAGGTATCACATAGCATATGCATTGTTAATAAAAGGGAAAGTACATATTAATAATTAGATTTTGGTATATTATAGCCAGAAACAATTGTACCATCTGATTAATAACAAAATCTTTCACCCTTTTGTTAGAAGGTAATTAAAGAAAATTAATTTGATCAATGAATAATTTAAATTGAACAAGTTAAATTTTATGAGACTGGTTCAGTTAAAAATAATGCATAATGACTAAAATAATTTTATGTGTTTTATAATATAATATAATAAACTGGATGTGTTTTACCATAGAATATGGTAATAAAAATAAAATATCATACTATAAAAAGTAAGAAGGTGAAGAAAAGAATAAAAAAGGTAGAAAAAATATATAAAACACAATATTATCAATACAAAATTGTTGAAAATAGTACACTGAAATACCAAACAGTAAAATTTGAATTGTTTTAAATAGATCCTATACAATATAAAAACAAAACAAAAACAGACTTATAAACAGATTCAATTATATATCATAAAGAATCTTCTTAAATGTTTGCAATTCTTAGTACTTCATTAAATCTCCCTTTAAACATCTAAGGTCCCACAGTAGATTATTGATTTTTAAAATAATTTAGAGGTATAAATTTTAATAATTATTGTTTTTAAGTTATATTAGCACCCACTGGTCAATTGTTTGATTAAAAATAATTAATTTGGAAACATATATAACATACATCAGGCATTTAAAAATTAATTGCTCAATTTATTAAAACACTTCTAAAAATTTACTTTCTGAAAACACAAAATTTTATTTAAACATTGATGTCGATTTCTCTTTGATTACCTACAATATATTTATTTATTGGTGCAAAGAAATGTCTAAGGCCTCACTAAAATCATTAACTAACAACATTAACGTATTATATGGATTTTTAGAGTAAAAATCTCATAGAAAGTTTAATTTTTTTTAAATAGGCTGTTCACATGTGTGCTAAATGAAGACACATAACATACATAGACGTTATCATTAATGAAACCCTAGAGAGAATACTATTTGAAATATTAATCTTACATATTAGTAAGATTAATAGTTCATTAAAAAAATAAAATAAAAATAGGACATGGTTATTAATAGTTTACCAATTAATGGGACTAGATATAAATTGTTACAACAAAAAATACATAACTAATTATTGTTTACAGTCTGGGAACATAAAATGTCTTCCATACACTAGTAGTAATATTCCTTTACTGATATAAGGTATAACATGATATTAATAGATTATGGTTTATAATTAAATAAACCCAATAAATTTGATTTTTTTTCTCATTGAGTACTGTTCTATTTCGGTCATCATGGATTGGGTTAGATAAAGTTTATTCAACAATAGGCAGCAAGCAATGTATTTCCTAACTATAGGGAAACAGAG